AAATACCGTGGTAGCCATATCAAAGTTTTTACCTCGAGGAAAGTTGTACAAGTATGTAAGTAAGCAAAGAAAAATCTTAAAAGAAGGCTGAAAATTCCTAGAAGGAATCAGAAGGTCAAAAACCTACATTTAATGTGAAACTGATTAAAAAGCATATACAAGGAAATTACGCTAAGCAGCAAAACTAATGTTTAATGAAGCAGATTCAAATGTTCCCATGTTTATAAATCATCCAAGGATTGCTCATTATTTTGTATGGGATGAAATGTAATCTGAAACAAGATTCTGCTGCATGATAACCACTGCTGCATCCGGGGCGCATCCTCAGGCCTCCCAGAGTGCCAGAGGGTTGCAGGTGAGGCAACACCAGTCCTGACATCTCATCCATCTCTCCAACCACCGGACACAATGTTGTCTCCAGGACTGACTTTTTCAGGCTATATCTGTCCTAGTAAAAGGTGCAGGGATTGCTCCTCTGTTCTGAGGCCATCTGCTGCAGTAGTGTTTCTGTAAGGCTGAACCCTCTTGCTCTCCAACACAGGGAGGCTGCACCAGATAAAGCACCAGCAAGGGTCCTTGGCCCCTGCTACACCCTGGACCATGCCAGGACTTTTTTGGGGAGACTGCTAATTGGCAAGGGCAAAACCCATGCCAGAAACCATGCTAATGGACCTGTGCACTAGCCTGGACTTGTACAGATGGAGTTTTTGTGGTTCCCACTGTGACAGAGAAGATACAGTTCATCAAAAAAATCTATGGCCCAGTATCTTTTCTACATAGGCTCCATATACTGCTTCCATCCAAACTGAAGAGAAACATGAGGGACTAGTACCCTGTATGCTGGAAGAAAAGGCTGTGGTTGCAGTACCGTACAATCTATACCTCAGTAACTATCCTCATGCAACTTCAGGCTGAAAATTAAAATATATTAGGCACAACCCATCCTGCCTGTACAGCTAGCTGAGGCGGACAGATTTTTCTTTGAATTGAGCCGGCTTTACTTCAAGAAATCTTTAAAGACAAAGCTTCCACTGATTTCAGTGGGACTTCTGCCTGTGTATGGGATGCAGAACAGAGCCCTCTCCTGGCAAGCACTAAAGATAATTGAGGACACCCCTGGCACCGTATCTGGCACTGCCCACAGCACATATCTATGTGATGAAGTACTGAATGCAGACCCTCAAAATAAAATATTAGGAAAGCTCAGCTATTCAGAGCCATGGAACCTTATGATTGAGGTCAGATGTGTCTGGATTAAAAAAAAATTACACTGGAAATCTAACTAATACTTAAATGATGGCACACTTGAAAACTGAAACAAAAAATAGGTTATACAACATATTTAAAGGCCCAGTTGGAACTTCAAGCTCACAATGACTAGCCAGTTGCAACCTGCTTTTGAACCCACAGCTGAACCCTACACGTTGAATTACTGAAAAGGGTGGAGTCACTTTCTTTTAAAACCTGAAATCTGATAACCATGGCGAAAGAACCTCCATTCATTCTTTCTTTGTATGACTATAAAGCCACGAAGCACCAATAACAACTTTAAGCACACAGATCAACAAACTTAGCCTAATTAACCCACTTTTGGATTTCATACTTCAACCTAAAAATAAGAAACTATATTTCAACGCCCTGCTTTGTAAAACAAAGTCTACGACAGATGCATATGCTACATGCACCATACAGTAGATACATCAAAAAATCGTTTTTAATAATGATACATTGCTAAAATAGTAGGTCTCTGTCTTTGGATTTTCTCAGAGTATCTAAGCACAATCCCTTCGTTTCAAATAACTTTTTTACTGAGATGCAGGACAAAAGGAAATTTGTTTAATTTCAAAATTATTTATAAAGATTTGAAAGTCCATATTGTTTTTAGTAACATATGCAAACATGATTATCTGGAGCCATACTGTAATCTCATTAGATTTCACAAGATAAGTAGGGTTGGCCCTGTTTGCATGGAAGACCTCCAAGGAAATTCCAAGTTATTGTACGAACTGGTATTTGTTCAGGGCAACATTCTTCTGCTGACTGAGAACTGAACCAGCACCAAGTGTATGATCCCAAGTACTGTCTTTCTATTAAGGAGGTAAACCCAAGCATATGAGCACTTGCAGTCATTAAACACCCTATGGCGCTTTTTGCAAGTGTAGGAGTGCCTGGCCAAATACCAATCTAGATAATTACATCCTGCCTACTTACATTCCCCTGTTGCTTTAAATGGATAAGGTATTATTATTCTTCTATTCTTGTGTAAAAGTGGATCCTATAGCCTTTCCTTGGGCTGCATTAGGACTATTTCTAGCATGACCTTCTCCATGCAGGGCTCTGTACGGTCACACAGAGTCATTTATGACTCAGTCTATTGCACTAGATTTTGGACCTACAACTGAAGTCATCTCTACTGGGCTCACCGGAATTTGCTTCAACTCAAACATCAATTTAACTGAAATCACCATCTAATCATGATCTGTGAAAGACATATTTACAGTAAACCACTGTCAATAATTATGTGTTTGATTACAACCTCAGTTTCTATAGGACTTCCTTTACCACACCTGACCCAGCTAGGTCAAACGCACAAATATATTTGTGTTTGACCCTGCCCACTCTCATGGAAATCAACAGCAAAATAGCAATGTTCAGTGACAGTAAGACCAGGCCCCTTAGCGGGAGATTTGCCTTGAGTCAGCACTATGTAACAGCAGCGCGCTTCTCCCATCCTTCCTCAGTTTGAAACACTACATCAAACAAAGATCATACATAAATCTTTTTAAAATCAGCTGTAATTTATGTTTTAAGAGAGGGTGCAACAGCTGGTTAAAAGCTTGCTTTAAAGTGATATGTCTATTAAAACAACCCATGTTAGTCGGTGATTGTTCCCTGTAACAGGAATTTGCTTCACTGAAGTAAAGTGGAAGGAAACCAGACTTCAGAAAACCTTCATTATCGTGTTCAAGTACCTAATATTAGACTATTCTCCCGTTCACAAAAGTCCTCTCGAAAGGAATGAGCTGTTAGCACTTTTCCTTACAAAAAGGAGTCTGTTAGCAAGATGGGTGCTGGTGTTAGTCACAACCGTTACTCTGCAGCAGGGTTGTCAATTTAAATTATTTTCTGCAAATCTGAGCTTTTTCCCCCACCCCATACTCTCTTAACTTTCAGTTTCAAAATTCACTTCATTTTTTTCTGGCTTGTCCTATATTATGTCAATTTGAAGGCTGGCTTTTGGGGGCTTTTTTAGTTTAAATGTTTTTCTAGCTGTATTTGTGTAGGTCAAC